ACAAAATGAGAGCTTCTTGACCGTATCAAATCAATGATCTTCTGTACTGTCCTTTGGACTGGACCTTCTTAGTATATTTCTGTAACAAGACAGATGAGGAAGAAACCGAAAACAATTGTTTTACGCGTTCTGCAAGCGTTTTTCTCGAAACAGGTTAGGATTACTTTTCCCGTTAAGAACTATGAATGATTCTCGAGGGTTCTGGCACACTGTACAGTCGAAGAGGTGCCTAGCAGTTGAGCTAGCAGGTAGTTTCTCACAAATCAAAGCTAGAGTTCGCGGCATGTGCTCCGAAATTCGACCGAAAAGTCATGAATTCCGGGGGGGGGGTATGGAAATAAGTGGTCCAACCAGAGTGGGACTATTCCAGGAGTTCACTGTCCGTTGCGTTGACAATTAAGGTCTTGGGGACGACGACGATGATGTTGGTCATCGAAACGCAGTCTGACTTGCTTGGCGACGCGCCTCAAATAAATACATCAAAAGACAGGTGAACTAATTACAGCACTCACCAGCGCGACGGCTGATTTAAGCAAGTACCGTATATTACCGTGTATTAGCCGAGGAATTTTGGACAATTTTCATGTCTGTAGCGGGAGGTCGGCTTATACAAAGGTTACGCGCAATTTGAAAAAAGCACATACAAAATCTACCCAGAAATTCACTGCACACCTATGCGCCTATCGTGCCTTGGCGTATTCCGCTAATTACAGACGACATCCTAGGCGGAGATTTGAAGTGCCCAGAAGTAGACACACTATGTTTGTGTCGAAAATCATCGACAGATCGTACATGTGAATTTCGCTACGGATAGCAGTAACAGAAAAATACTGGTTATACAGAATGGAACACCATCACACAAGAACATTAGAAAAAGACATGACAGAACAGCACTTACCGGTAAATTTTATATGCTCACATGTCCAAACGTTGCACAATGGTATTTAAATTACTCGAATCCTTCGAAACTAGAATCTGAGTCAGAATCTAAAACAGTTTCTGGTACTGGTCGTCTGTCATGGACACATCAGGGTGAATATCGGCAACTGTGAGGTTGAAATCTTTGTTCTTACGGCTCTAAGCCCCATTGACTGCGATCACAACACATGAGATCACCAGAACTGACCAATTGTAGAGCAGCTTTCGTTTGAGCACGCTCAAGTGAGAGCAGATAGTGATGAGAAACAATTTCCTTTCTCATTTTGCTGATATATTTGGGGTCAGCTAATATACGAACTTAGGATTTTGGACAAATTCGATGTTAAAAGTCAAACTGTCGGCATATATACGGTAGATTAAATATTTATGAATCATCATTGTTAACGATGGAGGGATTTTAAGTAGCTGGCAGTTTAAAACAACTTGAAGGTCGAGAGTGCGAAGTGCATGCCAAAACGCAGGACCATTATATAGAGTAGGTTCAAGGCTGACCGCATCATCTCGCGTTGGTCAAGTGGCGAGTACCGTCCACGTGATCTAGATCTACCAGAGCACACCCCAGAGTAGAACCCTAATACTTGGATTAAGAAATTCCGCGAGGTAACAGCCTACTGAGTCCCTGATAAAAGCGGAGGGAACAAGGGAAACGCGATAAGCCCGACGAAAGTCAATTTTCGTCAGAAAAGCGTCCGATAAGTCATCGTATACTCTGAGGTGATCAGAAATACTCAAACGCGGGGTGCATGGTGCTCAAATGCATTATAAAAAACGATCCCTGGCAAGTATACGGGAGAAAAAGGAGCGATCGACTAAATCGAACACTATACCCGATATGTGGGACGCACGATAAATACAGCCTTCTACGGAGTGAAAATCTATCAGCTCCTTCGCAACAGAGATTCCTGTTTTGCAATGACTGGTCCGCATGGAGATCATCAACTTTGGTACTTCCGTTTCCAAGCATTTGATAAGCATAAGCGTTGCGATTACTGCGCTTGAAAATACTCCCTATGGTCGATCAACGTTGCTTGGCTGGAACAATCATACTCGATAGTTATTCGGACAGTAAAGCGAATTGTTTACGAAGCATTTCACTTCTATCACACAAGGGAAAGTCAGAGTCAGCAGAAGAGAAACGGTCGAGGGCTGTTTCAGCGTCTCCTACCTAAGACCCAGATGGAGCCACAGAGGTTAACTTGCAGCATAGGCCGGGAAGTACTAAGGGGTGAAACGATGAGCGAATTGCTCTCAAACGTGCTCGAACTAACAGTGTACCCAATCGTGACTGAAGTTACCGGTTCCGTCTTCGGTGGCCTCGAGGAGGACTGAATACCAGGGATTAAAATTGGGAAACAATAAGGAACATACGTAAGTTATTCGTTACACTTGTTTGCTTTCTCGGTCTATACTGTTTCATCTCGCATTTAATTATCCATTTGGTCACGTTGAACATGTTACAAGAAGAAATGCTACTTCTGAAAAGAAGAGTTTTACTGACCTTACGGATGTTAAGCACCTAGCGCGGTAACGACTGCTGGTGCAGCAAACAGTAGCTTGCACACCATGCATAGTAATCGGAGAGAGAACAGTCTGCGAGATATCGCAGTAAATTTGCCTAAATGTTGGTTAAGGGAACTTTACGGTAAAAATGGATCGAACATTGACATCGTAGTAACTCAAAGAAAAGCAGTAAAGAAGTACGACACGATTAAAATACAGCAATTGGGGATGAATTCGGACCAGTCATTGCATGTTATATGAGATATTTAGACGCACCAGTCGTAAAAACCGGATTCAAAATGACATACTGATATCTGCCGGCCCGTAGCTTTAAGGATCATAAGCCTGCTTTGTAAACCGAGGGTGCGGGCTCGAGCCTGCGTAAGGGAACGGGAGACCCTCGAAGCATCCATAGCTTGCGTGCGACTGGTGGTGGTTACGCGGAAGCGAAGCGCCGGTACTGCGTACCACCGTCCTGCTGATGCTTTCCTTTCTTCTACTGATATCCAGTTGGCCTGAAGACAGCGCCCTTTAGAAAGAGTCTATAATTGATACGTAGTTACAGTAAACCATCGTCGTTATATGCGTGCTTGGAATGAAGCCGGAAAATTTCACCTGACGGACTTTCTGAAAAGCTTAAACAACGGGTATGTACAATCATGCCCCAGTCATCAGAACGCTGTCGGAACTGGTCAGCATGAGCAGTAGAAGGCACCCTATGCAGCATTAGAACGGTGGTCGGCTGGACCGAATGAGGTAACCATGGTTACACTTGAATGTGTAAACGACACCGGGTGTGCTCCGTATGCTAGTTTTATGGAATACCATTAAATAAGAAGCGCGTAGATTTTCGCTCCCGGGATTTCAACGGACTACCAAGGGTGCAGCTTTGGGACCCCAAACGATATCCATCCTAGCTTGATCTACGGTCCACGCACCAGCACCACGGAGACGGTCAACCAATAATGAGAGGATAGGCTAATTGCAATCAGTCTATCAAACACGTGAATAGTGAAATACACTGCCAGAGATACAGCAAATGTCACCATTTAGGGTATTAAGAATGCGTTTAAGTGCAGCCAGTTGGTTAGGCTGAAGGAAGTCGAGTAGCGTGGTTTGGTAAAGGGCCTGTCATAGAAAGAAGTCTGTGGTGACAAATATGCTGACAACAGTGTCAGAAGTACTGTACCTGCCGCCGGTCACAACACAGAGAGCGAGTCAGCCCTAGGGATGGGGGGAGATGCTGCGGAAAGAAGTGGAAAAGAATCCACTGGTGACAGCCTCTTTTTGCTTACCATTTCCTATCCACTTAAAATCGTGTGACCCACGATGCAGGATGAGGTTGAATGCAATACGATTGTCGTTAATCGTGTGCTGGTTGAAAAATTATTAGGGCACCAAATCTAATAAGAAGAATCTTTCGGCCTTTCAAGCACAATGTTTGATGATAGGCAGGAGAGTGACACAGTTCCACCATGTGAATAACCATCTTGACAGAAATAGGTGGCGCGTCAGTTTCAACAATCAAGACGGAAATTGAGGCCTGTCTGATCAATCTCTATCAAAAAATCTCGGAGAGCAGATACCCAAACCAACGGACGAGAAACGCGAAATGACGTGCTAGATTAAGTTTCACCCAGATGTCACGGTAGCGAAAGTTCATGTGAAATTGATACCTCGTCTCTCTACCCACGTCGCCTTCGCAGCCTTTCCGAAAGATAACCATGATCAACCTTTAATCTCCGAAAAGCATAGTGAATAGGAGGGGCGCTAACGACAATGATACAAACCGAGTGGGAGTTCGGGACCACGCGTGGCAGATTTTATCGCGCATATGAAAAATAAAAGTATCGATTAAAGCAAATTTTATCGATCGAAATCCGGCCGTTTTCTCAGAAGTTTGCCATCATTCCATTGCCCGACTAGTAGAATATTCACCGGCCATCTGAAGCGATTTTTAGTAACTTTATAGAAACCCTACAAGGCCAACTGATTCCTATAAATAACGCAAGTCTGTGTTATGTTAGTGCCGTCTTTTGTGGTTATTAAATTAGTACCTGACCAGCCAACTAGAGCGACTCGTGAATCACATATCCGATCGAAGTGTCATGGGGAACAACAAAGAATCCAAGAACGCGCGCCTTGACACGGTCATAAGATTGCATGTAGGACACGATTTACTAAAGCCCAAACACACTGCAAGTGATAGAATACGTGGCCCACAAACGGAAAAACCAGATTGCTGGAACATAATAAAGCCAGTCTATTAAATGAGCGATCTCACACTCAATACCGACTATGGTGTGTGCAGAAAACAGGTGATATTAGCACGTTTGCAGGTACACTGCTACCACTTATCTAGACAGTTGAGAGCCAAGGATGAGAGACAAAAGAGCATACTCATTTGGCGTAGTCTAGGGCGTTATCAAGGTAAACGTGTAAAACATGTCTACAAACGTGATATACACCATGTTCGGGTCCAGATAAGACACCATACGTAAGTGGCGATACGCACTGATACTATGCCCGGATCACTGACGATGACAATAGAGTGGAACAAGTAAGCAGCATAGGTATGAGATTTATTTCACACTGAGATGAGAAGGAAGCGGCAACCTTCGGAGTTATAAATCACAGTGATGCGCAGTAAGAGGCGGATGAGGTAGAAGGAGACAAACCTCCTCAATAAAGTCCGTCAAAGAAAGTGCACAAAGTTTGAAAGAAGCTACGATCATCTGGAGTGGGATCTGACGTGGAGGAACCCCTGAAAACAAGGAAATAAGGACTAATCAGACATTGGGATGCACAATTGTGTATACAAAAAAGAGTAGTCAAGCAAGGAGCGATTTCCATTAAACCATAATATGGTATTTTTAAAACAAGTACGGCTATTCAACGAGTTTTCTCATCGGACGCAGTCTTTAGGCTATATTGAACTTGCATGGACTTCGTGAAACGTCGATTTTTTTCCAAAAAAATGGAAATAATACTATAATATAGTGGTGATCCATGTTTCAAATATTATTGGTACTGGATTTTATGGTCTAAACAAAAGCAACACAGTTCGGTCCAGAGGTCCGAGTTGTTCAGTATCCAATAAACATAGTAAACCAAAATAAATCTGTGGGACTACGATGCATCGTGGAAAGTTGGATCCCCATATATCATAACCATCCAGTAAGAGGATGAGCAAAAATGAGGGATAGCGAGAAAAGCACATGGAAGAGAGGGGGACGCATTCTGCCTGAAAGGAACCGAAGAGCAGAGAAAGGAGGAAAGACAATGAGAATAGAAGCAATTCTAATCGAGTGCATAGCAGGATGTCCTCTGATCAGCCATTTCTTCCCTCTTAGCAATCGCTGTCTTCAGTGTCTAGGATAGCCATTATACTGACATCAACATCTTTCCGTGGAAAAAATAGTGCTCTAGCTGAAACAAAAGGATGAGCTATTCACAAAAGTTTCAAAGCATATCCAACGGAACCTGGTCTCATACAGTCCCACACAATCCGGCGGATTGGCTTCTCGGCGTTTTCAGCTGCTCTACATATCAAAAGCTGTGAATTATTCAGAACAAATAACTAGTAGAGTATTGACCGTCTATGCTAATTTACCAGCTGAAACCCACTTCATACAAACAGACGGAACAAATGAGCAGGTTCGCCTTTCCTCTGTGAAGTTACAATGACCACTATTCTCTAAGCAAAAAAATATCGAACTTTACTAGCCCATATATACAACATGGATTACAAGTAAGAGATCGGACAGGATATGCGAAACAACTGCATTCATTGTGCTGATGAAATACTCCACACTATTCAATTGTAGGATGTTGAAACCGCATAGTTACAGGAGCTAGATGACATCAAATAAAACGTCCGTGAGTGAAACCTTACCTTTTCGGTTCAAATGATGCGATCAGTCCCCAGTGACTCATGGTGTGGGTTAATGTAACCCTACAGAATTGAAGACTTGCAGCTCAGGTTGTTCAGATGGCGCTGGAACTGTTCGCTGAGCTTGACAATTTATTGTAAACATTCCGTCACCATTCGGGGTGACATCTTCAGTGCGTACTTGAGTGGTGTGCAGCAGTGTAGAGGAACCTCTGTGAGAGTGCGCTGAGTGTAGTGTGCGCGCGTTTTTATACCGCCGTAGTTGACCGTAGAGACGAGCGATCCTGTTGGTTGGGACTTCGATCCACGTTCAGCTTGGTTGATGGGCAGATGACCTTCACCCTTTGTATTTCGTGGCCTTTGTCTGCTTGCTCTTGTGAGCGAGCCTGGCGTTAGTTACGGTTGTCTGGTCACACGTTCCACTGGATTCAATCGATCGAGTTGGCGGTCGTTCGTCAGTAGTGTTGCGTATACTGCGTCCAGTTTGATGTGTCGATTGTTTGAATATGTTGTAGTCGCAGGCTTCCAAAAACGCTCTTGTGTGTTTTGTACTTCCATGTCCTAGGACATTTGCATTCTCCAGATCGAAAAGAAGGCTTCTTGATCTTCATGTGCAGAAACCAACGAGTGCCGATCATGCCTTCTGAGAGCCGCCTTGTGTTCGGTGATTCGTGTACAAAGCTTTCTTTCAGTTTGTCGCAGTCGCTGCATTTTACCTGGCGGATGCAATCACATTGATCGGCTTGATTGCCTTTTTCTTTGGGTCTTAAGATCAATCTCCTTAGAGTGTCACATGACTTGTGAGCCAAGAGAATCCCTGTGACTGCAGAAATCTTCCTGGTAGTTCGGATCCGTTCTTGATGTATGGGAGCACCATCCGTTTGTTTGCTTGCTCAGGTGACTGCTGTAGCCGTTGCTGTGACATTTGTTACTTTAAGCTTCTTCTGATGAAATTTCTAAACACTCAATACATGTGATTTTCTTCCTGTTTCCGCGATTCGGCTGTGCTGCAGTGCGTTTCCGCTCATTTGAACAGGGTTTGAATGCAGCTTTCTTTGTGATTCATCGGGTGGTTGCTGTGGGAGTTTAATATGTAGTCCGTATGCGTTTTCTTCCGATATATGCACGTTGGAATAGATCCGTCCGTATTCCTAGTGACCAGTACATCAAAAAATGGTAACTTGTTATACCCCTCTAATTCAAGCGTAAATTTCATATCCTCGAAAGTGTTGTTGAGCAAATCGTGTGTGACCTGTACTCTGTTCCGTTTGACGATCCCAAATGTGCAGACCACGTATCGTATCCAGTTTTGGGCTGATAGATGGCAGCGCAACGCGCTCCAATTTCTGCATTACGGCTTCTGCAATGAGCCCCAAAACTGGTGATGCCATAGGTGTTCATCTCAGTTGCTGGTAAACTTGTCCATCAAAGCGAAAAAAGTGGACACGCAGAGGTTCAAGAGTTCCCAAAAAATTTCAGGTCGTATGGTTGTCGTTGGGTTTAGTTGATTCTCAAGCAGTTCCATCATGGTTTCTTTGGCCAATTCGTGACCGATTGAGGTGAAGAGTGCGGTAATATCGAACGAAAGCAGTATTTCGTCGTCTTCTATTGACATTCCGCAGTTTGTTGAGGAAGTGTCCAACATTGCTGATGCTATGTTCGGATCCAGCAATCAAATGTTTCAACCCCTTCCACAATTCCTTCGCTAGTTTATATGTTGGGGTTCCGGGGAGCGAGACGATTAGTCGTAGTGGGACTCCACCCCTGTGTACTTTTGGTAGTCCATAGAACAGTGCAATGTTTGTACCATCAGCTTTCATTCTCTATCTCTCCGTGGCGTTAAACTCGTTCTTTGTTTGTAGTTTCTTCAGCGTTGCGTTGATCAGGTTGACCAGTTTTGAGCTTGGAGCTTGATCGATCCGGCGATATGTAGTTGTGTCTGATAGCAGTTCTTTGGCCTTGTTAATATACTCCGGTTTGTCCGTTATCACTGTCATGCGCCCTTTGTCCGCTGTTAAGACTACACTGTTCTCGTCTTTCTGTAGACGAGGGCGCTTTTGGAAGCCTGGGACTCTACAACTAATTCAATCAATCGACACATCAAACTGGACGCAGTATACGCAACACTACTGACGAACGACCGCCAACTCGATCGATTGAATCCAGTGGAACGTGTGACTAGACAACCAGAACTAACGACAGACTCACTCACAAGAGCAAGCAGACAAAGGCCACGAAACACAAGGGATCATGGTCATCTGCCCATTGATCAAGCTGAACGCGGATCGAAGTCCCAACCAACAGGATCGCTCGTCTCTACGGTCAACCACGGCGGTATAAAAACGCACGCACACCACACTCAGCGCATTCTCACCGAGGCTCTTCTCGCTACTGTACATCACTCAACTACGCACTGAAGATGTCACCCCGAATGGTGACGGAATGTTTACAATAAATTGCCAAGCTCAGCGAACAGTTCAACCGCCATCTGATGTAACTCTGTTCAGGTCTGGAGTGTCAACCACGCAGGTGTGTTATAATAAGGTGTCAACAAAGTGTGGAATTATTGGGTAAATGGTGCATCAGTGCCGCAACACTGCAGGGTTTGATAATTGTTAATTATCGCTAACTACGAAAATACTCCAAGCGAATAAGCAAAGAGATTATAAGAGTACCAGCATCCTATACTCAGAAGCATGCATTCCCAGTAATGTGCTCGCCAAACCACGAGCACGTGACGCACTGCGCTGACTCCCTATTCTACCCTATTAGTTTATCGGATTCGCCACGTTGCCTTTCGACAAACATCACTGAACATATACTCGTTTTGAGCTGAAGAGTAACTACTTGTGAAACCATTCGATTGGGAATCCGCCGGTGTATAATAGATTTATCCAAAAGCACCATTTCCGGGTAATGTTCCATCGATATCTACGTAAACAACATTGTATTATCCCAACCAGCGAATACATTTATGGTGTCATTCGGTAAAGAATTTCAACGGTATTCGAACAAGCTCTCATTTGTTTCAGTTTACTATTGTGCAGATCAGCTACAAGGTGATTTAGCTGTCCCCGCAGTGAACCCCACGCAGCCTCTCGACAAGTCTGATTTGCAATTCACCACCATGATCGGGGTCGACCCGTAGACACAGTTACAAACCCCCGTCAATCAACCATCGCGCGATTCCCCGCAAGGATGCAATCCACCGGCACGTCAGACGAACACCTACAATAACATAGTCACATAAGAACAACGTGAACCGTGTGACAGTTCCATCATCGTCGACAAGAGAACAACTGCTGACTGTTAGGTCCGTCTGCCACGTTCTCAAAACACATATTCGTGAAGCTGCACTTTTCAGCTAATCTGAATGGCAAAGCCTAACTACACACCACACGATATACACGTGATTAACGCTGGCGTCAACACTGCAGCTGACCTCTAACGAATGACCACGCCGGTGCACCAAGGCACGTGACAAACATAGGCTACTGAGAGTGTACTTTTATCGCGCCTCCACTGATGTACCTACGTCGAGTCAAGGCGCACACAACTCAACAGGAACGGCCGGACAACGAACGTGAGGGCTTCTATTCACGTGCGCAAGATTCGATGCACCGTCGCCACCGCACCGCAATAGGAACTGGACTCAGTTATCATGCAAGCACATAAGTCTCTCTCTCATGTACATAAATTAACACCTGTACCATATTATTATTTATACCAGCGCGAAGCCTGTTGATTTTGGAACTAGTCTCTATTTAACCGGCCCCATTAATTGGTGACCCCGAGTTGAGACACGTTTCAGTACCCTAACTTTTAAGTGTTTCGTTTATTTTACGCCTAACACCTTGGTTGTTCCATCACATTTTGCACACCACACTAGCAAACAATAACCTAGTTTCTGTGAACCTCCCGTCCACTCGGCACGATGACCCACAGGTATGGTTTACTCAGGTTCATGCACAATTTGCTCTTCGCAATATCACACAGGAACAAACCAATTTTTTATCATGTGCTAGCCGTATTGCCACCAGAGATTATTGCTAACCTATGAAATATGTTGTCGTCACCGGATGGCGCTAAGCCTTATTCGCAGCTTAAACATGTAATCATCTAACGAACAACCGTTTCTGAATATAAACGTCTTGAACAATTGATCAGCGGCGAATAACTTGACGGACGCACTCCTTCGCAGTTCCTAGAACGCCTTCACAGTGCAGTAGCCGATCACAAACTAGATAACGTGTTATTCAAGCAGCTATTACTGGAGCGTTTTCTGACGCAGGTATAGATGATCATAGCCAGCAAAAAACAGTGCTAATTTGACGCAACTCATTAGTATCGCTGACAATATTTTAGATATCCAGCCACCCACACGGTTGAAAAGCAAGGTCTACCAAAGTCGATTAACAACCCGCTGGACCATTTGGCTACACAGAGGAACTTCTGTTAAATCAACCAACACGACACCGTTCTTCTAGTGCTCGTTCATCTACCAGAACAAGAAGCCCTCCTTCATCGATTACTTCAGTCACTTGTTGGTACCATAGTCGTTTTAGGCATTCAGTCCGTAAATGCACTTAACCATGATCATTCCGTCAAACGAAGCTGCCAGAGTTCTCGCCGTCGGAAAACGAGCAGGCCAGAGGATGGAAAAAAGCACCGTCCTTGGCCAACAGCAATCCAACTCTCGCCGATTCGTTGTCTTAGATCATATCACCGGTTTCCATTTTCTTGTCAATGCTGGTGCTGACATCAGCGTAATAACCCCCAACCAGCTCTTTTACTAACCGCACTCCATCCTTGATGCGCTTAACAGCAACTAACGGAACCAGTATTAAAACAAGGTCAACAAACCTTACTACTCAGCTTTGGCCTACGGCGACAATTCAGTTGGATATTCAGCATCGCAGACGTACAACAACCAATATTGGGAGCGGATTTGCTGACAAATTTCAACCTGTTAGTGGATCTACGTTCCTTTTCGTTCCTGGTAACACGGCGTGTACATCATCCATCTGTCTCATAACTCTTTTGCCACAGAACTCTTCTCCATGCTACACAATCCTTAATAGATTCCCAGATTTACTGAAACCAAATTTTCATCAGCCGAATACCACACATTCTAAATGTCAGCACATCACCACCAGCGGCACTCCAGTTTTCTCCCGTCCGCGACGCCTAAATCCGGAAAGACTTGAAATAGCTAAGGATGAGTTACAACACATGCTACAGTAAAGAATAGTTCGACCATCTCAAAGCACGTGGGCATAACCGGTGCATATGGTAGAAAGAAGACAGCATCCGACTGGAGACCTTGTGGCGACTACAGAACACATAATCGCATCACCATTCCTGATAGTTACCCCATTCCACACATACATGATCTTTCTTCTCATCTTCTTGGATGTAGTCTTTTCCCACACTATTTTCATATCCTTACTCATCCTGGTGATGTTCATAAGACGGCTATCACAACCCCATTCAGCTTATACGAATCATTACGTATGCAATTTGGGTTACCTGCCACTACAAAGATTTCAACGCTTTATTGATCAAGAACTTTCACGCCTTCCATTTGTTTTTGCTCAGCTTGATCGCAAGTGCTAACGAAAGCGAACACTTGACACATCACACGTCTCGCCAAATACAGTGGTTATCACTAGCAACAAGCGTCTTTGGTTTATCTTCCTTGAACTTTCTTGATCATACTATTGATAGCACTGGCATTTCGCCAACTGCAGAGAAGGTTGCTGTCAAAAGAAACTTCCCCGCACTTACTTCCGTGAAGCAGTTGAAACCCTTTCTATGTATGCTTAACTTTTACCGCCGTTTCATTCCAAACGCCGCAAAGATGTTATCTCCACTCACGAACTTGTTGGTTGATGATCCTAAGCAGTTTCATTTCACAGAAGCCACTGCACGAGCTTTCAAAGAAGTCAAATCTCCGTTGGCCAATACCATTATGCTTTGCTACCTGTAACGCGATGCCCTGTTGTCGTTAAACGACGGTGCATCAAATACTGCTATAGGAGCTGTTTTGCATCAGACCGTCGATAAAATCCAACAGCCATTTGGATTCTTTTCCCACAAGCTCACTCTGACCGAAGCTGGATATAGTAGGTTTAGTGGTGAGTTACTCGCCATATAATCAAGCATTCGTCACTTCCGACATCTTCTGGAAGGAAGACAATTCACTGTGTTTACCGATCACAAGCCTTTGATATTCGCTCTACAGGCTAAGCCAGATAAGTACCCATCACGTGAAGTACGTCAGTTAAACCTCATTTCACAGTACACCTGTGCTAGCCGCCATATTCCTGGACGAGATAACATAGTCGCTGATACAATGTTACGCCCGCAGGTCAATTTGGTGAACTCTTCTCCGATTTACCTAAAATGCATGGCTCAACTGCAAAAAGACGAACCATCACAGTCGCTGATGAAGTGCAAACAGCTTCAACTGGACATCCAATCAGTGCCAAGTACGATTGATTGTGATGTTCCCATGGCAATCCCAAGATCATTGGTTCCTTTCGAAATTCTTCATAACGTATCGCATCACCGAATACGGGCAAGTGTCAAACTGATCTCTGAACGCTTTGTATGGCCGAACATGAACAGACATTCGCACATGGGCAAAGACTTGCTTGGTATGTTAAAATTCGAAAGTCACTCGGCATACCCAATCGGACATCGGAACTTCTGCACAAGAAGGTAGCAGATTCAATTATATCCACAACGATATCGTCGGAACCCTACCCTATTCCAGTGGCAATTCGTACATCTTAACATGCATCGAATATTTCACTCGATGGCCTGAAGTCATTCACATTACAGACACAATTGCAGAAACCATCGCTCGTGTACTTGTAACCATAGCCATTTTGACGGTCGTTCCTACATCACCACTGACCGCGGTTCATAATTCGAATCCAATAGTTTTCCAACAGTTGACGGAACTACTGGGATGCAAAATGATTCGCACAACGGCTTGCCATCCCCAAGCGAACGGTTTAGTCGAACGTTTTCATCGACACATTAAATCGTGATCAAAGCACACACCGATCCGACTCACCGAACAGATATACTATGATGATTTTGCTACCTTTGCGTACGTTTCGATCAACCATTTAATGTTCCCCCATGTGACGGGAGTGTCAGGTCAGTGAGCGGATGAACCAACCGAGGGAGTCAGACAGCCAATGGGAGACGGACGTAACAGATTCGATTACTGGACTCAGATTGACCGCGATATTCGTGTGTGATTAGCCGTTTGTTTAACTGAATCAAAAGAGGAATCTTGTCGTCTCAGAAGGGTCGTTATTAATGAGCCTGCGAATGGCGCGCACTTTGCCAGGGCAGAAGCTAGTTACAGAAGCGATTGCTCTCGAGAGCCACAGCGATGTCAGTAGGCGATGGCTGGGAGCAATTCCAAGGGAATGAGCTAAATGTCACGGTGATTCTTACACATATGGCCCTTCTGTAGAACAGGATGATAAGAACCGATAGTCGAGTCAAAGGTATCTCACTCAGTAGATTATACAACGAGATCTGGACACTATCCGAATTTACCAGCACAGTACAATACGGAGTGAGCTGTGTTTCCAAGCCGGGGTGTTCTTGCTGGTGTTGAGGTGTATAAGGAAAAAAGGATACCTGTTATGACATAGAATCAGCACTTACCCAAGTAGAGTGATCAACCGGGGAGTGGGAAGATTGTGAAACACGGAGCGTAAGCGATCCAGCATAAGAGCCAATTCGCTTGATTGCATTTGGTTGAAAGACACAAAATCCCCGGAAGGTCTCCGGCATAGGGTAATGGATGGGACTAGAGAGGCATGGCTTGGCTCCCAGTGTGGGTCGATGGACATGGTAGAATTTGTGCATGGAACCCATTTGGAAAGATGTAAATGTTGTTCCATATCCAAAGAACAAAGCCAACGCCAAAGCTGCATGATTTCGTGACGCACCGATGCGGGGAACTGAGCCGGTTGAGAAGGCAGAGGTGTATTAGGGGTATGACATAACAAGGGATCACTCAGAGTAAATATGGGGAAGTAATACCATTGGCAAGTAAAGGTAGTTTAAAGGGAGAATTTACTCAAGGATCCTCAAGCAGTTAGGTAAATGCCAAAGAACTGACAACGGCCGAGGAATTTGAAAAATGGAATAGCTAGAATATCGGGCTTAAAATATAACTGGTCGGCAGCTCGGAAAATCAGAGCGAAGTAGAATACGCTTTCACTTGGGGTATAAGACCAAGGGGGAAAGTCAATGGGATAAAAAACAATTTCTACATTATTGTCAACACTAAAGCATCGTGGTAAACGAGCGATAGAGGTGTTATATGGTAACAACACTGGCCGGTTAACACCATTGGCATCGATGCGTAATTCCAAATTTCATGAATATCGGTGAATTTTTAGCGGCAAAGTGATTTCATATTGAAGGCATAACGTTGCGAGCAGGCTTACCGGGATTGATTGCGTGAAGCTTTGTATTAGAGGCTCGTCAAGGTGACAAAGAGAAGTGTGCTTGGCTCGAATGGACAGAAGAGATTCCCAGCGTGAGATTAACACTTGTTCGGCTAAGGTAAGCGGAGGTTGGATGGCGTGAGGGTCGAGCGAACATCGGTTATATGATAGGAGCAGGTGATACGGTTCACCAATTGTATATTCATGATGTGGGGCCAAAAAACGGTAGACTGTGTTGAAATAGTGAGTTGTTAGCTCAACTGGTGTGGTATTCGAGCTTGGCGACGAGGATGAAGTGGGTAGCGAGTGAGTCAGTTCGTTGAATAACGTTTGGAGACGAAGGTTGAGCTGTAGCAAGAAATCGATAATTTGGATAAGGTTAAACAAGTGGGAAATCAATGGAATGTAGAAACACACAGAAGGTCTTGTGCCCAACATACAAGATAACAAGAACAAGCAATATTTCGGTGGAAGAATCTGAATTCAGTATACTTCGTGCATTCTCTTCCACCGTTTACATACTGGCATGGAAAAAGTTCAATCAGTTGGGAGTGACAGATCAATACCGGAGATTGGAGGTTAGACGTAACAGTGAAGCTGTCGAGCATTACCAAAACAAAACAAGATTAGCCACAAACTCAAATTGTTTGTATAGGTTAGACTTCAAACGTTGGATGGTAGAAGCCTCAGTAAATCGCAACAAGTTGGGATTGTTTTGTTTATTGATGATGATGATTGGATACCTGGTGGGGGGTTGGACACCAAGAGCAGTCGAGTAAGTGCCGGGTGCTATTGAAGTGGTGATCATAATAGTGATAAAAGTTAAGAAGCCACTACACTTCAAGAGACAACAGTATTTCCGACAAAGATCTTATACGATTTGTGGAGAGACACTGTTAGATGAGAACACCTGCACTTCTCAACTTCCAAACTGATCCGAACAATGATGTGGCCGCAGACGCACACAGTCGCTCTTCTTCCCGTATATCAGGCAGCACTGTGAAAACTGTAACAAAGCAAGTGATCAAGAGAGTTATGTGTCAACCTGATATTTGCAGATGGTGATCTGAGCTTAGGTACCTGTGGAAACGCAATCGGGGGATAAAAACGTGCCTACAGATGTTACCCCAGAGGAACAAGGTGGAATCAACGACAAGAAATAACATTAACCCGTGGAAAAGAGAAAACAAATTTAATGGTGCCAATGTCAATTTGAGAGGAGCAAAGAGAAAGATGCAAAATGGACCGCTAGACCCGAACAGAATTTTCCCCGGTAGGCACATCCGGTGACCAGTTCGGAGTGCGTTGCTTGATGAAAATGACTGTATTCACTTGGGTGAAACGCAAGGCCGCTGGTTCGTGAATGAAAAACCGAGTCGGATTGGTATATATAGAGATGGTATCTAGTTTCTGCCCATTTCTTCAGAGTATAGCATTTTCCAAAACTGATAGCAGACGAGACACACGCGGATCAAAGGTGCATGAAGTAACCAGTTCGTCGATACTTTGTTGATGTGAATAGAATATGCACTCTAAAAAAGAATGTCAGTCGGTAACTGATTGGTGCGACATGCCAGTTAACGACCGAGTTCGAGGCGGCACACAGTAGCAGAGTAAATCGAACTGTGATGAACACGATGACATGATGATTGTGAATGCATGCGATCATAAAGTGACCGTTACCGCAGTGGACCAACCTTCTCCAAATCAGAGGTATGTTGAAGACGAAGTAAATCACTAATCAAAGTGTAGCAACAGAGAGTCGGCGTTTACGTCTCACATATTTTATGTTTGATCGGTTCAGAACAAGACGTAATGACAGTCGGTAGGTTGATTAAAAGCCACACAACATACGGTTTATTAAGCTGACCAGAAGTGGTGCCACTGCTGCAAACAGTTTAGCGCAAATAAGCTGGTGTTCCAATGTGGATAGGAGTAAAGTTATTAATACAACGTAAGCACATAAAGTGACCGATTGGAATCTCGTGAAGTAAGAAGGAAGGAGTGTCACCACATCTAAAATGGTGGCAATTAAAAATCAACGCAATTGTAGCCGCTAGTTACAGTTACCGCAGGATGCTACAGAATGCAATAGCAGTGAGCAACAAGGTGGAATCAGGTCAGGAAAAGATGAAAGGGAAAGTAACCAGCCTAAACAGATAGGTGACGCAGGCGAAGCTAAACTGAATCCGCCATAGTTAGCACTGTACGCTTGGTTAGGTGAAGCTTCAGCAGGACTATTTGATGCGTATTTTATTGGCATAGAATTTCAAAAAGAGAGCAAGCTGGATGAAACGACAGCTGATCACATATTTTAGGGAGCCCTGAGGACAACGCATTCAATAAGCGGCATACAAAGAGCATCCCAAGACATTCCAGGTGTACCAATCAGAAAAAATCTTACGGCTAAGACAGTTTTTGCACGAAAAAGCAACAAAATTCTGTGCCGTTATGCTAACAGAAAGTAGTTGCAATCAGTGACCATCGCGACGAGACTGGACCTTAACGTGGTGCGATGGCTTAGGCGCCTCAGTGATCCCTTGAACTAGCTGGGTGGTGCACTTTGCACCTTCTGAGCCACTCATACCAGGCTGTCCAATGCTGACAAACTCAGTTTCTTGGCCCTCCAGGTTGGGAGTTATAGTGAAGGTGGCTCCCTACTTCATAAAACGGACTTAATGTGGCCCAGAGCCAAAATCCCGCTGACTTGCGAAAAGGTTTTTGAACCAAGAGGTATGATTGAGAACCCTAATGGTTCCTTTGTCTAGGGTTGGGCAACCTGACAGTATCCTGCCCACGAATATACCATGACTTTTACTTCTAACAATCTCTTGATGCTCTGGCCGCGCAGAGGATAATAAACGGCACCCTATCTGCCGCATCAAGCAGGGTGGATAGGGGTTTGGATGCTATTGCTCAGGCCTTCCCGTCTTCTTATCCCTCTCTTGCGCTTTTTCATCTTTAGCGTCACGCTTTAATTTCACATTTATACCCCCCGTTTTCAACTACCAACTCTTGGCCTATCCACCATCCTGCTTCAATTGTGCATGTCTTCTAATTTTAACTCACACAGTCGCAGGGCGTCGCTCCAGTACACTCGACAAGTACACGCCCAACGAAACGGACAACGTCAGTTCAGCAGCTTCCCTTCCGCTCGGTCCTTGCTAAGACTGGTATGCCTCAAGGCGTGCGCTTAATGCTACAGATTGACAAACAGGCAGTACTTGCCTGAGTCCTCGAGACCCTATCGATCGATATTTGCTGTTTATAGGAAAGTAACCTGCCAGATTCGAGCTCCGCACTAACGCTGCGATCTTCCACATACGACACTGGCGGCACATTCTCATTGCGCCTGTCTGGTGATGACGCAGCACCAAATGCCGATCAAGCTGGCATAGGCACTGTTTTGAATCCACGAGCTGAGGCTGCCCTGATCCACTGGATCCCAGTCATCAGCCGGATGTGTGCCGTTAGGTTAGACTGAGACCGCATTTAAGAGCAAGTAGAAAAGTTTCCGTAAAACTGTATCGAATTACGGAAAAGCAAAAACAGTCAATATCGGATTGTCTGCGGTAGTGTTTTATCAGTTAATCGTTTAACCTTGTTCGGCTAGGAATTCGTATTAGTGTCATTATTTCCGAGTATACGATGTCTTCTTTTGGCATTGTACGTGCACCGTTTCACAAAAGTACAGGTGCTCGAAATAATCGTCGATACGTGTTTTAGAATACTTCACAGAATAGGCCACTGTTATTACTTATGATAGTATTCCATAAGTTGACGATTCTTCGTTCTGTACAAAGCTGGTGTGATAGTTTGTACATGCCGTGGACGCTGATTTTGTAACGGTGTCCTTGGGTGTTACAGGTGAAATATTGGCTACAATTAGGAGAAGTGATTCAAGTATAGTATTCGATGGGTCATAATAAGGTCAACTCTTACTCGACGTAGGGTAGTGTGCAGAGTCCGAGCTTTTCACATTTTTTGTACGGAGGCGTTTGTAGCCTGGGTAACATACTAGTTGCAATGTGTTGTATTTTCTCCAGCTTATCCGTTTCCCACTGGGTTATCGGATCGTAAGCTGGGGCACCGTATTCAACGATGGGTCTGATGACATCGCAATGAGGCTGGACCATACCGTGGTAAGATGGTTTGTGTACCTCAGTGATCCATTGAGCTATACTGGGTGGTGCTTTTGCACCTTCAGAGCCACTCATACCAGATTGGTCAATGGTTAGAGGCCAGACAAACTCAGCCTCCTGGTCCTCCAGGTTGGCGGTTGGAATAAGGGTGGCTCCTTATTCCTTAAAACGGACTGCTTGTAGCCCAATGCCAAACGTGCTGCCTTGCGGACAGGTCTTTGAACCAAAGGCTTTGGTTGAGAACCCTAATCGTTCTCCTGTCTAGGCCTGGGCAACCTGACAGTATCCTGCTTACGCAATACAATGAACCGCACTTCAAACAAATTTCTGATGCCCTGGCCACCGCAGAGGATAATCAACGGTGCCCATCTGCTGCATCGAGCAGGGTGGATAGGGGTTTGGATGCTACTGCTCAAGCCTTCCCATCTTCTTATTCCCCTTCTTGCGCTTTTTCACCCTTATCGTCCCGTTCCAGCTTCACTTGTATCCCCTTGTTTTCAACCCTCCCCCAACTTGCTTCAATAGTCGCTTGTCTTTTAGTTTCAATTCACAGGTGAACGCGGAGCGTCATTCCTGCACTGTCAACAGGCCCATGTTCAAGCAAGCGGCCTATTCCAGTTCATCGGCTTCCATTTATAGCCTTCGATCCTCCTTCAGACTGGCATGCCTCAATGTTCGCACATTGCTTCAGATCGGTCAACAGGCAGCATTTGCCCGAACATTAGAGACCCTCTCGATCGATATCTGCTGCTTATCGGAGACCCGCCTGTAAGACTCGAGCTCTGTACTCACTCTGCGATCCACTTCAGGTGACGCAAGCAGCACTTTATCACTGCGCCTATCCGGTGACGATGCAGCTTCGAGCACCGGCCAAGCCGGTGTTGTTATTGCCCTGAGTCCCCGGGCTGAAGCTGCTCTGGTTGATTGGATTCCAATCAATAGCCGGATGTGTGCGGTCCGATGGGCTGGCTCGTTCAAAGCTTCGAAGTCGCGCGGGACTAACAGGTGTCTATTCGTTATCGCTGCCTATGCACCGACAAACTGTAGCCATGTTTCGGTAAAAGACGACTTCTATCGTCAACTGAACGACCTCCTTAGCCACAGAAGAAGCTCGGACACTGTTGTGCTAGCGAGGGATCTGAACGCTCAACTTGGAAAATTATCCACAGATGAGCTGCATCTGGGCGGCCAACATGGTATAGGCTC